AATCAAAGAAGGGAGAAGGGATTGAGTTATTGTGTTTGGAATCAAAAATAGAGTATAGTTGGCCACAAAGATAAGTTATTCAACACTTATTCTTAAGTAGACTAAAAATATATATTTTAAAAGGGGGTGCAACACCCGGTGGGTGTATGAATCACCTCCCTTTTCTTAAAAATTAATATTGCAGGAATATAGAGTGTTGATTTTTAACTTAAAATTAAAGATTTATAGGTAGTGTGTACATAACATTAATTCAACTAATTTTTTTTTTCATTTAAAAAAAAAAACTAAATTCTTTTATGTACTTCACGTGATGATATTCTTTGGTTTCATAATACTTCCAGCTCATTGTTTAATAAAAGTTCACGTAGCTAGCTAGCCAATTATATTATGGCCATTGTTTTGTTCGGTTACTAGTATTCAAATAGAAAAGCTGGCTTCTGCTGTTCTCCCTTCTAGATGCAAGAATCTTTCCAAGTTTTTTTTATTTGTTCATTTAATTTTCTTTAAAAGGAGTTTACACAATTTGTAGGGTTGTAAATAATTTGAGTTACTTGCAAATTATCAGACTCAAATTTGAATTAAACTCTTCACTTGAGGTCGAGTAAGAATTGAGCCCGAGTTTGAGTTAAAAAATGAGCATGAAAAATCGAGTCAAGACAAGTTTGAGATGCAATCTAAATTCATCTCGACCATACTTGATTCAGCTAGATTTCATTGTGTTAAAAAGTAATATTTAAAATTTTATTTTATTTTAATTTAAATCTTCAATTATATTTGAATATTCAAACGAGTGAACAAGTGGAGTTTGAGTTTGCTTACGAGTTAAACTCACAAGTCGACTTCAAGTTTGATATATTTGATATTAATAAAAACTCAAATTTAACTTGACTCATTATTGTAATATCAAGCTTTAATTTAATTTTAAAAGATCAACTTAACTAAACTCATTTATAATCTTACTTGTCTGATATATGTCAAGGTAATAATAGAATCTCTGATAGTGGATTCACCACTTCATTTTTTTAAAAAGTAAATAAATAAACTAATATAAATTATATAGTATAATGGAGGATTCTTATTAAAATTTGAATTTGAGATATCTAATTTAAAATTAAAATCTTAAGTTTTTACCTTGTGCGTTGGGACTCTTGGAGCTGCACACCTCCTCTCATAATTTATACATTCTTTTGTCTCATAATAATTATCGTTTTTCAATTTAGAAATCATCTTAAATTAATTGTTCATTTTTTTTATATTTTAAGGAAAATTTTTTTTTACTTTAAATATATATTTCTCTCTTGACTTTAATTATTTATTTTATCACAAAAGTTTCTTGACTTTAATTATTTATTTTATCACAAAAGTTTCTTTTTATTTTTATCAGTAAAAAGATAAATTATATCTAAATTCTTAATTTGAAAAAAAAAATCGAAAAATGGTCATTATTTTCTTTAGATAAACAGGAATTTCATTTATAATATAAATCTCTCAAACAACTTACACAAAAAGATTTCACTAGTTAGAAAACAAATTATATAAGTGTTCCTATCCAATGTCGCTTGAATTTATCACTATGATCTTTTTACATAATATAATAAAGCAATAAAAAAATGAGAATTTCAACCCTTATGCAATCTCTAAAAATATCCATTCTAGACAATTAATGAAAGAGACCACTTGAAAAGATTGATATATTGTTCGTATCCCAATTTTTAGATTCACTAAAGAAATATCTTCATATTTGATATTATAGATGACCGAAAAATACCATATATTATATAAACCAATCCATTGCAACAGAACCACCATTGAAAACCAAGAAGGATAAAAATTCTTATTAAAAATTGAAAAAAAAAAAAAAAAAAAACTTGAAAGCAAAATAGCTACATAAATCTCAGTGCAACAGAACATATCTAGGAGGATCTTAAGAAGCTTGTGCCCAAAGAAGGAAAAGAAAACTTAATGGCTTTAGTAAAAATAATAGTAATAATATTAATAATAAAATGACCTTTACTCTTGAACATAAGGTCAATTAATTGAGACAATTCTCTTTGGACTATAAAGAGTCCAAAGATTTTCGTTTGAAGTTTAAAAAATCAAAGAGTCCAAAGATTATCAGCAATGGGCCGGAGACGGACAAGACATTATCCTTACTAATTCCTTTTAGCCGTAGCCAAGCCCACCTACATATTCGCGTTGGTAGTAATAACAAAGACATTGGTTGATACAATTTTCGATTCAATAAATCTAATAATATTTATCGATTTAATTATTAAAAAATTAATATTTTTAAATCTAAATTGAAGGTTAAAAAATTTTCAAAAGCGAATTTTAATAACTAAACTGGTAAGTATTATTACGTATATTGAATCAAAAGATATACTAATCATTTTCTTAATAACAATTGTTTTACTTTTTCTTTCTTTCTTTTTATTAACGGCATGACGTAGTAATAACAATTTAAAGCTCGTATTCTTGTTATTGTAGAGTATTCGTACACCAGTCTTCCTATATATTTTAAGTTTAAGATATTAAGTTTAAATCTA